TCCCAGTTAACTCCCCACTCTGACCCTGAACCCTCCCTCATAAGGAAATTAGACAGCTGATGAAAACAAATCAGCACATCAACAGTGTCTGACAAAGTATACTTCATTTTCCCCCTATATTATACTACCTCTCTTCCTGAAATGAAAGTGGTTAATATGTTCATTTTACAGCTTTTTTCTGGAAAGGAAGCTTCCCTTTGGGGTCCTCTTCTCTTGTTGAAAACAATCCAGATCCCCAATTTATTGATGAAACTTATTTTCTCTGTTAACTAGAACAGAAGATTTTAAAATTCTTAAATGTATCGCATATGCACATCTGAGTCCAAATATTTGTCCTTACTGATTATGTTAATAATTGGAAGGTGCCCATGTGCTAGAAGTTGTTTTTTTTTTTTCTGACTATATGAAATGAGTGAGGATTTCAGGGTCAAATTTTCTATTGGTCTCCACTGAGCAAGCAGAAGCCACAGTGCTGATTGTATAATTAACTAATTATACCTCCAGTTTTTCTGCATATAAATATGAGGTCCCAAATTGTACCTGTGGGGGGAAAAGACATTTTGTTCTGTCAGCTCCATCCATGTTGGCCGAAATGTGCACACAAAGTTTACAAAATTCATTTTACCACTGATATGTCTTTGCAAAATTCTCCCAGTAGCAGAATTGTGCACAATTTTGCTTTTTGATGCCTATGAAGCTGGGGAGCAAGGTATCTGAAAAGTTTCTATTGAATATGTGGGAAACATTATAGACTAAACCTGCTTCTGATCATTTTCACCAGTTATCCTTTGCCTTTTTCACTGTCCACCCCCAATACCTGGAACCCTCTCCCTGCTGATCTTCTTTTCTGCCTTAGGTGGTTTCCTTCAAGTCTCCCCTAAAGACCTGTTTTCATAAGAAAGTTCTTCCCCTCCTCCTTGACCTTTATGCCTTCCCTCTGAGGTCTGCTCCACTTCTGCCATATGTGTCCCATTTGTACATGGTTGTTTACCTGGTATCTTCCCCATTAGACTATGAATACCTTGAGAGCAAGGATTGTTTGTGCCATTCTTTGTATCCTCAGCAGTTAGCAATACCTAGCACATAATAGGTACTTAATAAATCCTTGTTGACTTGACTTAACTCTGGTAATGTGGCTATACTTAAGGACCTTGGTGAATGCTGAAAGAAAGAGGAAATCCACTGAGTATTGACATGATTCTTCTAATTCTCAAATTTAGAGTCTTTCTCCTCCCCCAGTCAACATGTTTTCCTCTAAAAACTACTTCTGGAGAAAAATAAGAGTACAATAATTCACATTTTTTCTTGACTAATATAATTTATTTGAGGCAATGTAAGATGTATTGGACAGAATATAAGACTTGGAGTCAGGAAGACTTGGGCTCAAACCTTGCCTGTAATACTTCCCAATTGTGTGACTTTGGGTAGGTTACTTTGTATCCCTAAGCCTTAGTTTTCCTCTCTATAAAATGGGGATGAATGATACATGGAGCACCCACCTCTCTGGGTTGTCAGCTTTCAAAGAGATAATGGGTGTCTAAAATAATCTATAAGAATTAGTAAGAAGTAATAAAATGGCATTGTAATTAAACTAAAGATAGCCACTGGAAGGGCTATCAACCAAGTATCCTTCATCAGGTGTGCAGTGGACAAGGTACTTAGGAAAAGAGTATTTCTAAGTTGGGAATTGGGTTGGGGGTGGTGGTGGAGAGGAACCTAATCTAAGAAGAGAACTAGTAGCAATGGATGAAAGCTGTAAAAGAGGATAGTTTAGCCTTTGATATCAGGAAAACAAACAAGCAGTTAGAGCTGTCCCAAAATGGAATGCCCCACATAGAGAGGTGGTTGGTTATCTCTCCTTAAAGTGGTCAGATAGAGACTGGCCATGAATCCTGGGGATTCTTTTCATATGTGGGTTGAAACAGGTGGCAAATAATTCAGTTATTATGTGATTCTAAGAAGAAAGATATTATAGAGCACCGGCCCTGAAGTCAGGACGACCTGAGTTCAAATCCAGCCTCAGACCAAACACTTGACACTTACGAGCTGTGTGACCCTGGGCAAATCACTTAACTCCAATTGCAAAGAAGAAGAAGATGCAGGAAGAGGAGGAGGAGGAGGAGGAGAAGGAGGAGGAAGAAAAGGAGGAGGAAGAGAAGCAGGAGGAGGAGGAGGAGGAGAACAACAACTACAACAAGAATATTCCTAGCATAACTCCTGTGGGGATGAAGGTAATGGTAAAGCAGACATGGAGGTAAATCAGTCATTCAAGAGGCCAGAAAAGGATTTTAAGTGGGCCCCAGTATAAGAGATCAACTAGTGGCTAGAATGCTCAAGTGAAAAAATATTTGGTTTGTATTAGAAGGAGATGCTTCATAATGATCTGCATCCATTATGGAATAGCTATCTGTTACACAGCTGGCATTTTGCTGATGTCAAAATATTGATCTTCATGTCCAGTTAGCCCTCATATCCCAACGTTTCACATTTAAACTATATAATATCCTTGTTATCATTCCCCTTATTCAAAACCATATTTCATTTTGTGCTGATAAGACATGCTAGTTTTTAAATTTTTAAAGATTGAAAATCACCTCAGAAATTGTTTTTAATACACTTACTCTCTTACCAAGAGTGAAAACATGGAAAAAATGAAGACATAGTTCAATAAGTTGATGGATTAGTGGGAAGTTATAAAATCTTTCATTGCTGAGCACATTGTTTTTTCTTGATTCTGATTCTGAGCTGAGTGACGATATTGACGGTCTATTTTTAACATCTATGTTGCCCACCAGGAAATTTCATTTTTAAAATGACAGGAGAGATGTGGCCATTTCACCAAAGAAATCTAGATTAAAACTGAGTAAGATTTTATTATTGTTCTCCTTCGAAAGATGATTCTGTACTTTGGTATATATAACATTTGTTCCTCTTAGAATTAATTTATTTAGAAAGGCAATATCCTTCCAATAAATATAGACAGCTATATATTGAACTAAGGTACATAATAATCAGAAATGATGTCAGAGAAAACTTCTAAACAATTACAGCTATCCCAAAACTGCCATGAGATGTGGTGGGTTCAAGGTTTTAAAGTAAAGCCTGGGTGAGCCCTCATTGGAGTTTCTAGAGAAGAGGCTCTTGTGCAGGTTGTGAGTTGCGCTAGATGGCCACTGGGGTCCTTACCAGGTGCCCAGTTATATAAGGAGTCTTCCTTAAGGAGCTGATTTGTGTATAGATTTGTCAGTCAGGATCAGAATGACCTTTGAGAAATTTCTTTTTAACCCCATCAAAGAATAAACTGGGTCAGCTGATAAATCTTAAGGGCAACAGAAACAAATTTTTCTCTTAATGTTGGGGGCAAAAATAATATCTACAAAAGGGTTGGAGCCCACTCATTGGGGCGGACGTTAACAAATGATGGAAAGTAAGAATAGTCACTCCTCTTTCATGTCACTTCTCTTTTCTCTGGCCAAGAAAATGACCTTCTGACTGGAAAGGATAAAGCAAGACTATTTAACAGCAATTTGAAAGCCAAGAGAAGTAAAAGCGTAAAAAGAAAACCATGGCTGCCCTCAGTAAGTTCAAATCAAAAAGGGCAGGATACTTAAAGAAATGACAGGTGTGATTCCAAAGCTACTGTCTATGTATTTTGAAAGCTCTTGGAGAATGGAAAAGGTGCCACCCAACTGAAGAACAAATGTCCTCATTTTTAAACTAAAGAAAGGAAATGGGATCTGAAAATTTTAGCTCAGTGATCTTGGCTCCTACAACATATTAACAAAGGGAAAGCTTGTGAGCATTTAGAAAAACAGCAGCAAGGTGGCTCAGTGGATAAAGAACTGGGTCTGGAGTCAGGAAGATCTTAGTTCAAATCCTGCCTAGATATTTACTAGCTGTGTGATCCCCAGCAAGTCACTTAACATCTGTTTGCCTTAATCCACTAGAGGAGGAGGAACTGACAAAGCACTCTAGCATCTTTGTCAAGAAAATCCCCTGAACAATGTGCTATGGTCCACAGAGTCACAAAGAGTTGGACATGACTGAACATATTTGTTAGGGGAAGCTAGGTGGCAAAGTGGATAAAGTATAGGGCTTGGAGTCAGGAAGACTCATCTTCCTGAGTTCAAATGTAGCCTCAGACATTAACTGTGTAACCCTGGGCTAGTCACTTAATCCTGTTTGCCTCAGTTTCCTCATCTGTAAAATGAGCTGGAGAAGGAAATGGCAAACCACTCCAGTATTTTTGCTAAGAAAACCTCAAATGGGGTCACAAAGAGTCAGGCATGAATTAAGTGTCTGAACAACAGAAAAATCATAAAACTGATTAAAAGTCAGGCATAGCCCACCTTATACTTGTGGAATTAATTTTTTGAACCCGGGCGTATGGCTTTATGTTTATCCCTATTAAAATTCATGTTAATTGTTTTAGTCTAGTCTTCTGACTGGCCAGTGTCTTTGAATATTGACTCTTGCATCCAACATGTTAATTATCCTGTCCAGCTTGTTATCTGCAAATTTTAGAGGCATGCAATTTATACTTTATTAAAGTATTCAATAAAACATTTGACAAGATAAGGCCAAGCACATATCCTGGAGCGGACATGTGACTACAGAACTCTTTCCAAACTCACATTGGACCATTAATGACTAGTCTTTGGTTGGAGTCATTCTACTGGTTCTGAATCCACCTAATTATCTTTCAGTATAGCCTATGTCTCTCTGTCTTTTCTGCAAAAATACCATGGGAGATTTTGTCAAATGCTTTCAAAAAATTGAGGTGAACTACACCCATAGCATTACTCTGAGCTCCAACTTTAGTTGCTAAAAAAGTATGTTATCTCTAAAAATGTCATATATCTTGCTACAAAAGTAAAATTAATCTGGTATGACATGACCTTGATGAGGCAATGCTGAGTCAATGTATTTCCTTCTCTTTGTTACCTTTGTTTCTTTTTTTCTAGTTGTTTGCTGACCATCCTTTTCATAATACTTTCCAGAATTTTGCAAGAATTGGTGATTGAGAGAAGAGACTCGAATCAGGAGGCTGTTGCAGTAGTCCAGGTAGGAGGTGATCACAGTCTTAACTGTGGTGACATTGGCATGATTGTTGGGAAGGGGATGGATGGAGCAAAAGTTGTAGAGAAAAAATTGCAAAAATCAGTAAGTGATTTGATGTTGAGAGGCCCAGACAGAGAGAAGAGTGGAAGCTAATTCTGAGTTCGTAGACATGGGTGCCTGGAAAGTTCAATGTAAATAATTTTAGCATTCATAAAGTATGATCATATTTTACCATTTAAAATGGAATTTGACCAGAACATTCATACTTCCTATCTGAGGCAAGGAAATGGCCTTGAACTACTAAAGAACTGAGGAGGAATTTGTCTCTTAAGATGATAATCCTCAAGTAATAAGTGTTTTGCTTAAGCTTTTGTTTTCTTTACACAATAAATACAAAGTTGAACAAAACTTAATAGTACATTCTTCCGTATAGGTTTAACCGAAGAGATGATGAAGCATTAGCGTACTGAATATTTATCTTGTTCAGTACAAGAGGGAGGTAGTGAAGGGGGGAGAGAGAGAGAAAGAGAGAGAGGGAGAGAGAGAGAGAGAGAGAGAGAGAGAGAGAGAGAGAGAGAGAGAGAGAGAGAGAGGGAGAGAGAGGGAGAGAGAGAGGAGAGAAGAGGAAGGAGAGAGGGAGAGAGAGAGAGAGAGAGAGAGAGAGAGAGAGAGAGAGAGAGAGAGAGAGAAGGAGAGAGAGGGAGAGAGAGCAAACTCTTTCCAAGGGTATTAAGAAAAGGCCTTCCTTCAGGTAGTCATTATACTTCATACCTCCCTAAGTGGTTGAATTATAATGGTCTCTTTTCTCATTTTAAAGGTATAGTTGTCTGAGGGGACTTTCTAATTAGATTAATTTGTTTAAATTTTTGTAAATATTTATTTCTATTATGCATTTAACTCTGAACAAAAGACATTTCCATAGATAAAATTAAAAAGAAGGTAGTACATAAAATTGAGTATATTTGTTATATGCAGTCTGCTTTTCTTTCAGCTTATTGAATGCAGTATGATGTAAGGCTTGTAGTTTTTAAAGCTACCTGGCATTTTTCTAGCTTTCCTTGTCTGTTGTTCAGTCATTTCACTCATGTCTGACTCTTTGTGAGCACATTTGGGATTTTCTTGGCAAAGGTACTGGAGTGGTTTGTTATTTCCTTTTCCAGCTTATTTTACTGATGGGAAAACTGAGGCAAACAATTAAATAACTTACCCAGAGTCACATAGCTAGTAAGTGTCTGAGGCCACATTTGAACTCAGGCCTTCCTGACCCCAGGCCAAACAGAGCAAGTCTCTTTCCTCCTCTGACTTTTTCAAAGAGCATTTCAAAACTCATGTTGGGGCAGCTAGATGTCACAGTGGATAGAGCACTGGCCCTGAAGTCAGGAGCACCTGAGTTCAGATGCAGCCTCAGACCAAACACTTGGCACTTACTAGCTGTGTGACCCCTAGGCAAGTCACTTAATCTCAATTGTCTTAAAAAAACCAAAAAACCAAAACAAACCAAACCAAAACAAAACAAAAAAAAAAAAACCACCTCATCTTGCCTAGGAATCCTTCCCTTAATGCCATAGCCCTGTAAAATAAATCATTTACTTCCTCTTTCTTAGCAGTTACATTTTCTCGAATTCTCATAGAGATCATAGACTCTTACACCTAGAAAGGATGTAAGACAGCTTCATGTGATTTATAGCCAGATGGGATCTTATAGGTATTCTAGGCCAGTCATTTCTTTTTCCATGGGATGAAAGTGAGGGCTTCCAGGAGTTTAAATGCTTTACCTGGTATTGCATAAATACTATCAGAAACAGATTGAGACAATAGGTCTTTTGATGAGAAACCCATTGCTCTTAACATTGCACCATCCTGCCTCCTTCATTGTTTTGATTTGCACTTATTTTTTAGTGACTTCTGTTAGATCATCTCATGGGCTTACTTAGATCTCTATTTTCTGATTTGATTTTATGTAAGCTCCCTTAATAAAGCCAGTTCGTCTACATTATAGACCTTAGACTTCATGATTCTGATTGTATGCTAGTGTTAGTTATATGTCCTGACTCCCTATGCTTATTGAAGATATGATTTTAACTCAAATTTTGAAAGAGTGTAAAAGCTTTAAAACACAGTGGTTTAGCAATAATTATGATGTCACAAATTTAGCAAACCATTTTCCCTGCAGGGGGAAAAGTTGTAAATTAGAATTAGCAGGTGGTTTCCCATCAACCACTACGGTTTATCTGTTTCCTGATTTCCAGATCAACCCTCACTGGCCCCTTAATACCGTTTCCCTCAGGCTTCTTCCTCCCAAATATACTTTCATGCCCTTCCTCACATTCCTATTTTCCCGCCCTTTCCTCACATTCGTATTTTCCCGCCGTTTCTCACAACTCACCATAGCCCTATAGGGAGTCCCTGCCCCCCCAGCCAGTCTTTACCTGAGTTTGGCACTGTGCGGTGGCTCCTCCCACAATATGTAGTTTGCCTTCATTAGATAGTGTGGAGAAGCTCCTCCCCCACAGAAATCCTTCTGTTTCCCACAATCCGTCATTAAGCGCCAATACGTCTGCGGAGTAACCGTGCTTGGCCGATTCTCCTCCGAGGTGCCTGAGAAGAGCCGGTGGGCCGTCTTGGTGAGGTGAAGAGAAGAGTTCCGACCACCCTGCCATTCCCAGATTTTCTCCTTAACCGTCTTGTTAGGTAAGTCTGAACTCTTCTCCCCTCCCCCAGCTACCTTGGCCCATTGAATGAATCGTATCTCCTGGGTCAATTCCTGCTTGCCCTGACTCTCCTGTCCCAAACTCTTCTGCTTCCTGTCCCCCTTCATCGCATCCTAGCCTCACCTCATTCCTCCCCATTTCACCCACTCCTTCTTCCTACTTCCTTTTCCTTCTCCTTTCTCTCCCCTTTGTTTCCTCTGCCCTCCCTAGCCCTTACCCTCGCCCCTTCCCCTAAAAGCAGGTAATGGTTCACACACAGAGTCTGGAGTCAGGACGAACTTTTAAATTCAAATCTGGCCTCAGACACTCGGTAGCTGTGGGACCCTGGGAAAGTCACTTACCCTCTGCCTTCCTCCGTTTCCTCAGCTGCACAATGGGGCTTAAATAATAGCATTGTTGTAGGGATCAAGTGATACAGTGTTTGTAAAAGTGCTTAGTATAGTGCCTGGCATGGAGTAGACCCTTAATACATGTTTATTCTCCTTCCCCCTCCTCTACCCTCATTTACTCCTCTGTATCTTCCCCAGCTCTTCACTCTCACCCCTCTCCTCACCTGACCTGCCTCTACTACCACTTTCCTCCATTGACTTCCCCTTGTCCCTTCCTTCTTCTTTTCCCTCCCCCTGCACTCTACCTCTACCCTATGTTCTCCCTTTCTCCTTTCCTAATCCCTCGTTCCGCCCTCACTTCACCTCACTTCTACTGGGTCGACTCCATCTTGCTCCCAGCTCATCCTTTCCTGCCTCACAACTGCCTCGTGCCCCTCCCCCCTCATGACCTTCTGCTGCTCTCATTCGTGTGACTCCATTGTTACCTTTCCCCCTCTAGCCAGCAGCAGCCTCATAGCTCCTGCTTTATTTCATTGACCTCATAGAGCCTTGTACTGGTAAATGTTTTACAACTAGCTTTTTAAAATTGTATATAAGACTCTGCATTATTCATGTTTGCAGTATATACTTTTAAGTTCAGTCTGTATTATTAAGATTTTCTTGATTACTTTCTTGACGCTACATAATCATGCTTACTAGGCACACTGCCCACCCTCCTACTGTTCCTAGTCCATTCTACACCTTATCCACCAAGTTCTTTAGCCACCTTTTTGCTCTAACTCCTTTCCTTGGCCTCCTTCTTGCTAGGTTAAGCCAACCAGGCCTGCAGAACCATGAAGCTGACTGACCTGGTTATGCAGAGCTTCCGCATAGCCAAGGTGTTCCAAGATAATGCAGACAAAATCGACAGTTTTGACTTTAGTCACAGTGGTGAGACAGTTATCTCAAGCAACAATAATGACACCATCACTGTGTACGACTGTCAGGAGGGCAAACCAAAGAGAATGCTGTACAGTAAGAAATATGGTGTAGACCTAATCAGATACACTCGGTCAGGAAGCACTGTAGTATACAGCTGTAACAAAATAGATAATACAATTAGATATCTGTCCTTGCCTGAAAACAAATTCATTAGATACTTCCCTGGGCACAGCAAGCGTGTGGTAAGCTTGTCCGTGTCACCAGTAGATGATACCTTTATCTCTGGGTCTGTGGATAAGACCATCCGACTCTGGGATCTCCGCTCCCCTAATTGTCAGGGCTTAATGCATCTCCATGAAAAGCCAGTTTGTTCTTTTGACCCAGAAGGGCTAATTTTTGCAGCTGGGATCAATTCTGAAGTGGTTAAACTTTATGATATTCGCTCTTTTGATAAGGGGCCATTTTCAACCTTCAGAATGCAAACTGAAAAGACCTGTGACTGGACAGACTTAAAATTTAGCAAGGATGGCAAATTCATCCTCTTATCTACCAATGGCAACTTCACCTACTTGATGGATGCCTTTAACGGACTAGTGACACATTTATTTTCAGGGTATAAGAACAGCCAGGGTCTCGCATTGGAGGCTTGCTTCACTCCAGATTCTCAGTTTGTTATGACTGGCTCTGAAGATGGTAAGATCCATGTCTGGAATTTAGATACTGGAGTTAAGGTGGCTGTGTTGTATGGGAAATATACCACTCCTATAACCTATGTACAATTCAATCCAAAATTGATGACCTTCGCCAGTGCATGTTGTAACATGGCATTAGCATTATGGCTGCCTATTGCTGATGACTAATCTCTCCACTGATCAACAGCGTCTACACATTGAAGGGCAGGCAGTATGAGGATGAAGGGACTGAGTATTGATTTTTTCTTTTTCTTTTTTTTTTTTTTTGTTAGGCAATGGGGTTAAGTGACTTGCCCAGGGTCACACAGCTAGTAAGTGTTATGTGTCTGAGGCCAAATTTGAACTCAGGTCCTCCTGACTCCAGGGCCGGTGCTCTATCCACTGCGCCACCTAGCTGTCCCCTATTGATATGATTTTGATGACCTAAAACATCTTTCCACCCAGTCCTTTCTCATGAACATCAGTGTATATCCTTTATTTTTTTTTCCTGCCTGCCCTTAAAAGAAATCTTAGTGCTGTAGACCTGAAATCCAAACCTAGTTTTTCTAGTTATTTATTACATCATATTCCCCCTTGAGTATGAGCTATGTCAGGCTTATGAGCATAACTGTGGACCCTTGGCATAGCCTCCTTTTTATTTTATTTTACACTGGGGAGCCAGTAAAATCTGAACCATGCACACACGCACACACTAAGTTAGCAAATGTATTTTTAGGAATAATACTATATAACATTGCTGTGCTTTAGTAATAGGACAGACTGTGTACTCAAAAGACCTGAAAGAGACCTAAAAATCACAACAGTGCAAGCTCTTCCTTTTCAAGAGATCTCTCTCGTCCCCCCAGATGCTGCTAAGGGTAAGGATGCAGACTGTTGAACACTAAATCCCCCACCTTGGGATGAAGTTAACGTAGTTTCACAGTCCAGCCCTGGCAGTGTACCCAACATTAAAGAGAAAAGAATAAGAAAGTAACAGATGGGGACATTTTTTTAAAAAATACTAACGATGTTAAGAGGTAAAAAACTCATTAAAAACTTATAATAATATATAAATAATTTGAAAGAGAACATCCTAAAATTATAAAAGCAAATGAAATAGTGCCTGATAAAAAAAAAATAACTCTCAGAGGCTTATATAGAACCCAAAGACAGGCTGTTCAACAGCAAAAGATTCCAGAATGGTTCGAGAAAGGGAGGAAGTCCATAAGAGAAGATATTAGAGATGATTCTGTAGCAGAATTTGTATCTCTCAACATAAAATGTCATTATTTATGGAAAGCTTCTCCAAAAACGTGAGACATGAACAGATTTGGCTCACAAAAATACTAAATGGGGAAAAAAACTGATCGATAGAAAAAAAGCATGAAGTGCAAAAAAAAAAAAAGTGAAAATAATCCAATCTCTATACAAACTAAAACCGCTGACCTTGAACAATTTAAAGATCAAAGACTCTCAGAATAACATGAAAAATCACAAAACCTGATCACCATAGTGTAGGAAATAAAGTAAAAAAGCTGCCCAGAAATTCTTAACACTGAAAATAAAACATCTATGAAAAGAACTCATAGGTCACTTCAAGAGAACAGAATCCATGTTTTTGAGCTCAGGGTGTATAGTGTTTAAAATGAGTAGTGCAAATGCCAACAACAAATGCTACATATAACCAGGAAAAAGAACTTTAGGCGAAGGACTTATTCATACCCATTACATACCATGGAAGACAGTGCCATAGTTTTTTTCTGAAAAGAATCTCAAGCAGCAATCAAAAATGTTATGCCCTACAAACCTGATAATAACCACCAACAAAAAAAATAGACATTCAACAAAAGAGAGACATTTGAGGTATTCCTGCCCCACTTCCAAAATATGACAAAACCTGGTATAGAATATTGATTACTAAAATGAATTAACCCACCTTTAGAATTTATTTCATTAAAAAGAGAAAGACTGACCTGTAGGGTAAATCAGTGACAGCAACACAGAGGGACCATCAAAAGATTTAGAGGGCCTACAAGGAGATAAAGATATAAGCAGAAATATAAAGAAACAGAAGTGGCAGTGGAAGAGCGGAACTGAAACTCTGCGGACTAAACCACACTACAGGTGAGTCAATATCTTTTATGGGACAAAACTGGGTGGGAGGAGGGCAGTGAGGATAAAGAAAAATGAGTGATATATGTTTATCAAGTCCATGGGTAAATATGAGAAAGAGATGATTCCTCCAGTCTCTCAACTAGAAGCAGAACTGTAGGAGAATGGGAGCAGGATTAAAGTGAGGAAATGAAAGAAGGGGTCTCAGCCCTGCAAAGGGCCCCACTGGAAGGCACTCCCATGAGGAAAGAAGTATAGGCCTGTGATAGAAATTGGGGACCTTATGATGTGTTTAATTTGGGGAGAGTGAATGCATTTATGAGAGGCTGTTATGCCTCCATAAATAACATCCTGGCCTAAGACATTGAATGTGCAAACTCTGGTGGCATCTGGCACCCAGAAGGGTGGGGAGAAACATCAGCACAGAAAAGAGAAGGCATAGGTGGTGGAGAGGCCAGGGAGCGTAATTGAATCAGACAGATTGGGACACAGGGTAATTTCTACCATGGTGGGCGTTCAATCCACATTATTTTTCTCATAAACTGACAGCTCTAAGATTGAAGTATAAGCAAAAAAAGGAATGGTGGGTCAAGCTCTGTAAAAGGTATTAACATAAGAATTAGTTAGAAAAATGAGCTCAAACCAGGGACTTAAGAAGCTTTGACTGTATCAGGAACCCAAAGAGCTTAAAAGAGACATTTCAGTTTCAGAACAGATAGGAAGAGAAGATGATTATTGAAGGGAAGAAAGCAAAGAAAAGCTTAGAAAACAATGCAGAAAAAAGAAAATAACCTAAATTGGAAGGGAGGAGAAGGGGAGGAATTTGGAGGTAACTAATTAGAAGAGAAAGAAAGGGGAAAAGAATAGATAAATTATTGAATTTTAATTTTAGTAAAGTCTAAAAACATTGGCGAAGGTTTGACAAGTGAAAGGGAAAGGAAGGAGGGAAAGGCTGGGGGGATAAGGTTGCATCAAAGTAATTTAGTGCTAATCATAGGAACAAAGTATTTACTTAAAAGAGGAATAGGGATTAACAATTTTAAAAATGCTAAATAGAAATGGAGGGAAATGCAAACCTAACTCTCCAGTTACAGGTGAGTGGACTAAACCATTGGGGTCAAACTCAAATGGAAATGGCGCCTCTAGTTGGTACATAAAGATCTCTGTGGGCTGCATATTGATTTTGATTTAAAATGTCATATTACCTAGGTTTTTTATATTTTTCTTTATTTTCTTAAGCATTCCCCAACTACTTTTTATTGTGGTTTGGGCCCACTTAGGAGTGTTGCAGACCTGTGGGCCCAGCTTTTGTATACCTTTGGAGTGAAGAATTCACTACATCATGCTGCCTTTCTTTAAAAAAAAAAATTACAACTTAATACCGAAAAGGCTACATTTTTTCCGATGATGAGCCTATTCTGCAGCTGGATACACAGTCCATTACCAGGACCATGAGCAAAAACTTTTTTGGATTGATAGGATCAGACATAGTTTGTACTCTGCTGCCATAGCCTTGGTGCAGTGAAACAGGGATTCGAGCTAGAGTTCAAAGACCTGGGTTCAAATGCCAGCTCTATAGCTTAGTAAGTCCATAAGCTTAAGGAAGTCATTTGACCTCTTTGGGGCCTCCTCTGTTAAGTGACCCGTTTTGAGTTTGTGATTTTTAAGTGATTTGAGAAGTCATTAATGAAAAGTTTCTGAGGGAAGGGCCATTGCCCAGTGAGCCACAGTAGGAAGACCTGAGTTCACATGTATTGTTTTCTACCTGTGTGACCTTAGGGAAGTCAGTTCCCTTCTTTCATCAGTAAAATGAGGGGGTTGGACTAAATGGCTTCCTTTTCCCTTCCAGCTCTACTTCATATACTTCATTGTGGAAAAAATTGCAAAAAGAACCGAAGAATCTTAAACTATCAAAATGTCTGCTCCAGCAAATTCTTAAATCCTTTTCTTCCTACTTAAATGGGGAAAAGTGGAGAGCTAGCATTAACCAAGAAAACTGAGTTGTTATCACTTTTAGACACAAGCCAGTCACCGATGGGAAGTTTGGGAGAGGGCTGCAAAACCAGATGTTAAGTGGAATACTGGAATGAGATTTCCTATATTAGCACCCATGGTTTTCTATCTATGACTAGCACCTTTAACCAAAGGACAGAAATTCTGGTCACAAGAGTGTGACAAAATGTAAGCAGGTTTCCTGAAATGTTTTTTAGACTAGCCAGGAAAGATCTCACTTCGTCGGTGGGGTTTTTTTATTTCGTTTTGTTTTGTAGGATGTTCGTTTGACCATGGAATGCCTCCATCTGTACACTCTTCCTCCTCCCTTTGTTCTCATGTGGGATAGGCCTTTGGGGTTTTATTTAAAAGCCAATAACTAAAGGCTGGATCTTACTAGACATTTCCTCTGATGGTTCTAGTCTCTGTTATTTTGATCATTAAGTGAAGTTCTGGTCTTCTCATGTGATAAGATGAGTAAACCTACAGAAAACAAGAGTTTACCTTGTGTGGGGAGTTTTAGAGCTGAAGATAATGGTGGTGCTCATTTAGTGCAGGTCTTTTTAGCCTGAAGTCCACAGGGTCCTTGGACAGATTTCAGCGGTTTTGTGAACTTGAATGAGAAAATGTTACATCCTTATTTTCACTAATATCTAACTATTTTTAGTATTTCCTTCAGTTATTTGAAAACTTTATTATTGTGAGAAGAGGTCTGTTGGTTTCTCCAGACAACCAAAAAGACCTATGACACAAAAGAGTTTCAGGGTTCAGAACCTCTGATCTAATGTAAACCACTTTTTCTTTTAGATGAGAAGTTGCATCCAAGACAGGTTAAGTGCCTTGCCCAGTGTTCTTCGAGCCAGTTGGTAGAAGAGCAAGTATTCGGATTGAGGTTTCCTGCCTGCCATTTCCGATGACTTCTGCTACCACGAGTTGCCTAGCATCAAAGGTCACAGAAACAGCAGATGGTGACAAAATGACACACCTGAATGTTGGCATACATTTGCCACATAGAAAGACAGCCTATTTGTAAGGACTTTAAAAAAATGAAATATACTCCTTTTTGTAATACAATAATCAATATATTGATTTAATGAGAATATCAACACTTTTATTCGGGTTTCAGATAAAGATCTCCTGGGAAAAGACAATGAGGAAGAAGTAGAATAATTAAGACAGTGAGATCCTTAACAATGGTAAGTAACTACATCTAATTTCCAATGTGCACCTGAATGATAAATTATACTATTTGTTAGTTATTTCTATCTCAGTGCATTTATCATATTCAAAGTGTGATTTCGGAAAAGAAAAACAAAGCAAAACTCCTCAGATAGAAATATGATTAGACTGTTGTCTACTCTACTTTACCCTAACCTATCATTATTTATAGAATACTGTATATAGAATACTCTCTCTGCAAATATTATTGATCTCTCATTAGGGAGCGCTAGAGTATGATTCATGATATGAGTCACGGATTCCCAAAATAGCAGAGAGTATAACCTCCACTCCTATCACTAATTTATCAGGTGTCGGTGTGGAAAGTCATCATCAGAGAAAAGTTGTTACAAGCTACAGAACTCAGAAATAATTTCTTAATCAGTAAAAATGTTTTGATTTCATATGTGTGTATGCATATAGACATTGTTAATGCCTACTTGGAGAAACTTAAAGTTAGATCAATCCAGACACATTTTGAAGAAAGCCCACATTTCTTGGTGATGCATGCTTGGCAATATTATAAAAACCCTTTAACACAGTCTAGCATTTCTAAAGCACCTAATGTGTGTACAAGCTCAATGCTGGGCATTGGGGAGGGAACAAAGGTGGGAGAGACACAGTTACTACTCTCCCAGAATTATGAGCAGGTGATTTTCATGCTCCTGTGAAAATGAGGGTATTCATTCCCTTCACCAGTACAAAAGACATAGAACCCATCTGGGTGTGCTTGTTCTGTGCAGTTCTCCATATGCTTCACAAAGTATGTGCACACGGCCCTTGAGGACTTCTTGTCAGTCTTTTACTATTTTGTAGGTGCTAGTATGTCAGCCCCTCCACTCGTGCCATGATGCCATGACAACCCACTGGCTTTTCTGGTCACACATGTCTCTAATGATGCCTTTTCCATCAGTCCCTGTAGGCAGATCATCATTGGTCCTGTGCGGTAGCCTGCTTCTCCATGCCATGGCTCTCTCCATGACCTTTTCAGCCACCCGGGATCTGAATCCTGTGCAGCTCATGGATATCCACAATGCGCAACCATTCAGCTTCAGAGAGAACGTTGGAGTTGAAAAGGGACCAATTTATTTGCGAAGTATCTTGAGATCACTTAATGTACTTCCCAGTTTTCTACAGACATTGTACTCTTCCTCCTTTTCACCTCTAGGCCTAGATCTTTGTGAACATTCAGGGCTCATCTAAGACATATATATGTATGTATGTATGTATAGGCATTAACTCACTGCTCTTACTCTACAACTACTGTAATCTGGGTAATACGTACTTTCCTTACTTTATTTGTACTTCTCATTGATAGGGGCACTCTCTCCGCTTGATAACCACTCACAATCCGTTTGTGCCTTGACATCCTCTCGGGTTGTCCGTGCCCTGCCAGATAACTGCTACAGGGGTTTCACCCAGTCTGCTTGGGGCCTTTCTCTCAATCTTTTGACACTAGAATATGTGGGCTGTCCATTACCATCCCTGCTTTATACACTTGGCATGTTCTGTTTTCTGTGGGTATGCTAATCTTTTAATGTTCTGTGATCACCTAGTAGACAATGTAGTATTCTGAGGCTTGGTTTTATTTCTATTTCTTCATATGGTGCATCAGATACAGAGAGCTGAGAGTTCAAATGTGGTACCTCCCCTGCCATTGATAGTACAAACAAGGTCCTGTAGTAATACAAGTCTGTTTCATTTCACATTTTTGTCATACCTCCATCACTCTCATATACATGTTGTTGGGCCAGTCCAGCCTCCTCGGTTCTTATCTGCATGAAATGATCCTCTGCATACTTTTCTGTCTTTCTGTGTACTTTCTCTCTTCAGAGAAATTGTGTGTGTGGACACAAAAGGCACTTCCCAGCAGAACACCTGAATGTCCCCATAGAAAACCTGTTGCCTGAGGGCGACTAGAGATTGTGATACCCAAAACAACAAGAAAGAAAGAAAGGTCTTTGAGCACTTTTTAAAATGACAGAAACTACTGAGGGAGAGGCAATTAGCACAGATCCAAAAGTTAAATCCTAACGTCTTAGAAGTAAAAAGCAAGCAATAAGCAGTAGGTATTTGTAGTTTGATAGATATTTTTTTTCTTTTCTGCTTTATATAAGGAAATGTTTGTTTTATTTAATATTTGTTAACTTTATCTTTCAAAAAAATAAAAAAAAATTGTTTGAAAACAATTGAGCAGAACTGTCTAATAGCATGATTATAATTGATATCCACGTCATATTATACTTTTCTAGCTTATTGATTGTTAACAGGAAGAATGACTCCTCCTTTAACTTTGAGGGTTCCGAACAATGCACCCTTTCCCCTTGCCTTCCTTTTACACCTCCTGAAAGGGGCCCTGGGCGTCCCAGAGCCCTTCCCTAGGGCTATCAGGAATTACCAGCTGCTGGCTTGCTTTCATTTTTTTCTATGAACTCTGAGCCTCCCAGACCCCACCTGCAGCTGCCTAGCATGGGGAAAAAAAAAAAAAACAACCCTACAGTGGGAGGCTCTTACCCATTATCTTTCCTTGACACCTTCCCCCTGAAATCCCCTAATAGAACAAATCCCATCATCTTTGGGAGGTTTGGGTTGAATTGTGTTGAGCTTAGAGAAGTGGGTAGTCACACCCCTTAGAGGACCTGGAAGTTATCAATCACAACCTTCCAGAGAGATGAAAGAACTCAAGGCTTTCGCATTTGCCTTATCATTCAGTCCATAAGATTTACTTAAGCACTTATTATGTGCCAGGCATTGTGCTGAGTACTGTCAATACAAAGAACAATAAACATATGCTCCTTGCCTTCAACAAGCTCACATTCTTCTGGTGGAGACAACGTCCAAAAAACTACATGTGAGATTTGCACGATGCAAATTTTTTAAAAATCTCAGAGGGAAGACACTAGCAGTGGGGGTGGCGGCGAAAGCTCCACAGAAGATGGAATTTGATCTGAAGCTTGAAAGAAGTCAGAAACCAAAAGACTGAGGTGAGGGGACAGAGCATTCCTGGTGTGGGGGCAGTTAATGCAAAGGCAAAGAGGGGAGATAGGGTGTCATGTTCAAAGAATTGCAAGTGGACAAGTGTGGCTGGATCGTAGAATGGGTAAAGGGGTGAAATTTGAGAAGACTAAAAAAAGTAGGAAGAGACTGTATTCTAAAGGACTTTAAATGCCACTGGAGCTTATTGAATAGAGGGACGACACAGAGGGTCAGAATTGTGCTTTAAGAAAATCTCTGGCAACTGAGTGGAGGATGGATTGGAGTAGGAGACCTTTGAGGCAGGAACACCGACCATAAGGCTGTTGCATGACTTGATTAGGATATGCATCAGAGTGGAGACTGAATGAACAGGAGGCTGACATAAAGACTTGGCAGCTAATTGGATATATGGGATGAGGGAAAGAGAGTTGAGAAAAAGGACACTGAGATTGTGAGCCAGGGTTACTGGGAGATTGGTGGTACCTTTGACAAAAATGAGAGGGTTGGAAGAGAGGAGGGTTTGGAGGTAAAGAGCCTTTTATGACTTTCATGAGTGTTTTAATGAGTCTGTTAAAGCATATTGGGTTTGACATGCCTATAGGGCACCCGTTTGAGAGATCCAATAGGTAGTTAGTAAATTGAGACTGCAACTCAGGAGAGGTTAGGGCTAGGTATATAAAATGGGAATTACCTGAATCGAGATGGTAGCTGAACCCTAGGGAGCTGATGAGATCACTGAACGAGGTAGTAGAAAGGGAGAAGGGCACAGGGCTCAGGAGAGAGCTTTGAGGGACACTCAAAGTTAGTGGGCATGACCTGGAGGAAGAACTGGCCAAGAAGACTCAGAAGTAGTCAGACAGGTAGGAGAATCAGGAGAAAGAGAGAAGATTGTGTAGAAGAGAGTGATCAACAGTGCGAAAGGTTGCTGAGAGGCCAAGAAGAATGAGAATTAAGAAAAGGCCATTAGACTTGGCAATTAAGGTAACTTGCAAGAGAACAGTTGAAATTGAATGAGATTTGAAGCCAAATTGCAGAGATTTTTTTAGCAACCAGTCAGAGGAGATGAAGTGGAGGTAGTGAATGTAATATCTTTCTCAAGGAGTTTAGCTGACCAGGTAAGTAGAATGATAGGACAATACCTAGCCAAGAGGGTGGGGTCAAGGGAGGGGTTTTTATTGTTTGTTTGTTTTGTCTTGTTTTAAGGATGGGGGAGGCAAAGACATATTTGTAGAAAGCAGACAAGTAGCCAGAGAGAGATTGGTGATGAGAGAGCAGGGATAATAGAGGAGACAATCTGTTGGAGAAAACAGAATAGGATGAAAGGTATATAAGAGGGGTTTGCCTTGATAGGAGAAGGGACACCTCTTCATGGCAGGCAAGAATGAAGGAGATAGTGCAGGTAGGTATCTGAGTGATGAGAGATGAGGAGAGAAGAAGAGGAAGCTCTCAGCAAATAGCTTTTTTTTTTTTAAAGTATGAGGGGGGCAGAGCAAAGATGGCAGCGAAAGGCAGGGACTTGCCTGAGCTCTCCCAAATTCCTCCAAATAACATTAAAATAATACTTTAAAGCAAATTCGGAAGTGGCAGAACCCACACAAAGACAAAGTGAAATCATCTGCAAGCCAAAGACAACTTAGAAGGTCGGCAGGTAAGGTCTGTTGCACCAGGGTGAGATTGAAGGCAAGTCTGGCCAGTGCAGGTTATGCCCCAGAAAACCAGCAGTAGGCCTCTGGGGGTGACGGAAGCAGGGGCAACAGTGACAGCTTCCAGACTTCTTAGCTCACAGATGGTAAGGACAATTGGTCAGAAATTGGTCCCTTTGCTGGCACCAGAGTCAGAACTCTGCTGCATTATTTCTGTATCAAATGATATATTCATATGATGTTTAATATTTTTGTTACTAAGATTAATAATGCTAATCATTTTTTAAAATATTTAACCATTTTTATACTCCTTTTATACACACACACACACACACACACACACACACACACACACGTACACGTCAGGTCTGCATTATCCCAAGGCTGTCCCTCTTTCCAATATGTCTCACTGTAATTAAGCCATCCATTTATTTAACATTTTGAGCTGATATTTTTCTTAATTTTTCCTGAATTTGTTATGAATTCTTCAGCCTCACTATTGACCTTAGTAGTCTAAGTTTCTTCTCATTGTTTCTTAATGATCTATCAATTTTAATGATCTTTAAAAGCAGCTCTTTGTTTTGTTTATCAACTCAGTGGTATTTTTGTCTTTACATATGTTAAACTTTATTAAAATTTTTACTTCTGTTGCTTTGGAGTGATTAATTTGTTGATTTTTCTCATTTTTTTAGTTAGATAATTCATGAGTCTCTTTTTTTTTCTCTTGTTAATATAAGTGTTTGGAGAGTTATTTTTCCTCTGCATTAGCTGCATCCGATAGATGTTGTTATTTTATCTCATTGTTATAATTATATTCAAAATAATTTTTCCTTATTTCTCTGATTTGTTCTTTCATCCTTTCACTAGTTAGGATAATAACCATAAGTTTCCATATTAATCTGGGGGGGGGGGTGTTGTTCAGGTTTCCCCTACTGATTACAGTTGGTGTTGTTTTATGGTCTATAAGGTTTGCATTTGGTATATATACTTTTCTGTATGTATTTATGCATTCTCTGTGCCCTCACTTGTGACTGGCCTTTGTAAAGTTGAGTTTTGATTCTGGAATATAAACCTAAATATTATAGGTGATACATCCTTCACCTTATCACCCCCTTGCTGATGATAACTCTCTCTCTACTTGGGAGTCTGGAACCTTTCTTGAAGCCTTTCCCACTTGATGGAACCTGCTAGATGTTGCACTCTGCTAGCATAGGCTTTGAGAACCCATTGTAGCCTAGGCATCATAATAAGGCATCTGAGTAGGCCTTATGTGGAAGGATGATCAATTAGAGGATAAAATATAGTTGTACAGGTATTTATAATACAAATTTGATTGTGATAAATGCCAAGAAGAGGAATAAATAGGAAACTGTTAGAAATATGAGAAAGGAGAGATTGTTTTGGGCAGTAGGAACCACGAAAGCCTATGTTGAAGAAGAGTTCTTTAGATGGTACTTAAAGGATGCAGAGGTATTCAGGGAGAACCAGCACCTCTGGTGTGAGGGCTTGCTGAGTCCTTTTCACCCACCTTTGGAGTCCACCTGTCCCCCACAAGTCTCACCTGTAGCTCCAAGAAGCTATAGCATGTGCAGCAGCCACACCCTGGTAAAACCATCTCAGCAGACAGACTAAATCAGGTTGAGGATAACCGACAAGCCTCAAACTCAATAGTGAGTGAAGGAGATGTCTGCCCCAAACATGTGAAAACTTCCCGAAGTCGAATAGCTGGAGAACAGTTTGTCCCAAAGGCTATAAAGTTGACTGGAGAAGGCCCTGGGGAATGCTTAGAGCTTGGTCAGATGTCAAAGATGGCGAGGTCATCCACTGCATCTTGAGCCATCACCAGTCATCTTGACTCTTGTCCTGCCACTGGACTTTGGTGATTCTGGAAGAGAGAGTGAGGCTGACGACTTCATGCAGCTCTGCCTCCCTGAAATCCAGTTCATGCCCCAGTCAAGTCATCACCCCGTGATGCCATTGATCCTCTTAGAAAATAAAGGACAAATAACAACAATAAGAAGGTGTCCCGAGATGGACAATGGAAAGCATGTGGAAGGGTCAGGCATTCCAGCTGTTGAGGGCCACTGGAGCAAGGGCAAAGGAGTGAGAAAAGGATAATCAGCAGCCTGATGTTAGCTATCAGCTTCTACTCCCCCAAGCTCAAGTTGCTAATGAGAAATTAGAATATTTCAAGAGGTTGATCTTATGGAACTAAATGTTTTTAGAGGAGGAAATTTTATAACCTGAACCTTGATGATTTAGTTCAATTACGCAAACTGCACTTCTCTGGTAATTTACTGTCATTGCTAAATACATATGAAAGAAGGCATTATTCAGCATCTTGAATATAAAATAGCCCAATGCAAAACATTTGGCATATACCAAGCTCATTCAGAAGCAACTCCCCATGCAAGAGTATTATGAATTGGCATAGCTTACAGAACTTGCTTGGGCCATACTTTGCCACTTTAGTGACTCCAGTTTCCATCAAAGTG